GGAAACTGTGCCTGATCCAGGCTATAGTCTTCACAATTGCTTGCTATGCATCAGAGAGCTGGCCAATGACTAGGGATGATAGAAAGAGAATTGATGTCTCTGAATTGTGGTGCTGGAGAAGGCCAGCAGGGCAAACAGGTTCATCCTAAAGAAGGTGAAACCAGAGTTCTTGAGGCAAGGATTTTGAAGCTTCATCTTACCTACTTTGGACATGTTGCAAGGAGGGACCAGACCTTAGAGAGGGACATCATGCTTATAAAGGTGGAGGGACAGAGAAGGAGAGTTGTAAGAACCAGGTATTAGAAACTCAGTTTCTGGCAAAGTACAGCTACCCCTACCCCACCTGCTTGAGTGGTTTCTAGCAAACAAACAACCCCCACCTGTGGTAAATCACACCCTGATTAGTCAACTGCCATAAAGTGGAATTCTTCTTTGTAAGGGCACAAGGGATTTTTTTCCGCATTCCTGTATCTGAAGTAACCGATAAGATTCAAATAGGTTTCCTAATTGTTTCCCCACCATCAGGTTCAAGCAAGTCTCCAAACTGTTTCCCTGAGCTATAGCTAACCAATTGAAAGTAGACTAGTACCCAAACTACTATAGATAGCCAATCATAACATGTATAGTTAGACAAAGGAGTAATAGAAGTATAAAAGGTAGAAGCTTGCGCCAGCTCGGGGCTCTCGGGTGGATGTTGCTGTGTCAGCACGTGGGAGTCTGGGTTCGAACTCGAAATAAACTTTGTTAATTTGGCTAATTAGCTCGGTGATCTTTTGGGGGACTTGCTTCATTACAAGAGGAAGATCATTGATGAGATGGATTGATTTATTGACTGGCATAATGAAGTTAGGTATGTCAGAGACAGTAAAGTTGGAACAGGATAGAGCAGGTTTCAAGGCTATTGTACGTAGGGTCGCTATGATTTGCAATCATATCATATGACTCAACAGCACATAACAAACAACATCACTAATATAACACAAAAACAAAATCCTGCTGAAGATTATAAAAAAATCCTGAACCAAACAAACAAAAAACAGTGACTGGAACAGTACATTGATAGAGAACTACCAGATACAGAAGCTGGGTTTAGAAGAGGCTGTGGCTCTAGAGACATTATCACCAGTGTCAGATGGACCTTGGTTAAAAACAGAGAGCACCAGAGCAATGTCTGTATGTGTTTCATTGAAATCGAGGAGGACCTGAGGTGTTTGCTATAGAAAGCTAAGTCTGTAGTCTTCACTATGGAGTGCTGCTTAACACCAAGAAGACAAATATTCCCACCTCTGGGCCAACTGGCGGCACCATGATGGATGTTGAGGATATTGAGGTTGTTGACAATTTCATCTTGCTTAGCTCTTTAATCAACACTTTTGGCACTAACAGTTGAAAGGAAAATTTTTAAAAAATAATGTCTCCAAACCCAAGTATTGTAAGAACCCATACCTTTGATCTGTATTGTAAGAACCTATACCTTTGATCTTGTGTGAATGTTTGTGTTCCAGGAACTAGCTGACCACAAACTGGAAAAACAATTACTGGCAAAAACCATATTTTAACTAAAGTCAGCAGCAGGCAACTAACCTAAAATTGAACTTCTCCTTTTCCAAAGAGCCAATGAGCTAATTCCACACCAAAGAACCCCTAGACCTAGTATAAATTCCCTTGCTTTTTGGGGCTCGGGGTCGACTTCCCTGTCTCCTGTGTGAGATACAAGTTGTCCCGAAGCTTCGTCAATAAAAGCCTCTTGTGATTGCAGCGAGTGGATCTGGTGTGAGTTGCTCGGGGTCGTGCCCACTCTGGGTAAAGCCTTAGTTTGGGGTCTTTCACGATCAGGAAATCAAAAGATGAATTTCACTGGGGAAGTCTGTTATCAGAGACCTCTCCAAAGTGCTCCAAGCTATGATCTTAGCAATTACTTGCTATCCATCAGAGAGCTGGACAGTGGATGACTAAGGATGACAGGGAAGAATTAATGCATTTGACTTGCATTGCTGAGGAAGAGTCTTGAACATACCTTGGATCCCCAGTAGAAGAAATTGTCTGGGAGAGAGTGAAACCAAATTTTCCGTGGAGGCAAGGATTTTCAAGTTCTGTTTCACACACTTTGGACATTTAGTCAGGAGGGACCAGTCCTTGGAGAAGGAAATCATGCTTGGAAGTTGGAGGGACAGCACAGGAGAGGAAGACTCTCGATGAGATGGACTAACACAGTAACTGTGACAATGGGTTTAGGTGTGTTGGAGTGAGGAAGACTGGCTCAGGATAGATCAGTGTTTGGAACTATTGTACACAGGGTCACGATGAGTCACAGCTGACTCCATGGAATATAACAATAACAACTTTACAAAGTGACCCATAGCAATGGTTTCCAAACATCAATAAAGTAAGTTAGTAACTATTAGATCTCTAGATTATTATAGACTGATCATTAACAATGAGGGAACTTTGGTGACCTAACAACCATAAGGAACTATCTTGTCAACCAGAAGACATGCTTTTCTAATACATTAGCTGTTGGTTGGAGAAAGATGGGCAGTCTTCTCCTGCGCAACTTACTGTCTCTGAAAACCTGCTGCAAGGTCAGCTCTGAGTTGACTCCAACTCAGTGGTAAAAATAGTAACAACAATTATTAACAATAAGTCAGAACTACTTTCTGCCCATGTATTAGGCATTATCTGCCATTTAAAAAGTGTTGAAATACTAGAATCTTTCCTATGATATCGTTTGGACTCAAAATGCATATAAGGGAAGAGAGCAAAAGAATCAGAGAACTACTGTTATAAGTCATCTAATCATAGCATATTATTTTCCTTAGATGGAAACTAAGGCAATGCAGATGATATATTTGGGATATTTAAAAGCTGGCTGAAATCCAAACTGTCATCAAGTAATTTGATCTATCATTTAAACCTTAAGGTGAATTAAAATCAATGTGATGTCAATTGTAGTCCTATTTCTCTCTTATTGATCATTCATATAAGGAACAATTCTAATATTATAAGTTCTCAAAGAATACTGAGAAGCTGCTGTAATGTCATGCTTCATTGATTCATGTTTCTTTATGAGGAAATGCTCTAATCTAATATGCATCTTTTAAGTAGAACGCTAAGTCATATTTCCTTGTTATATTCTTTTCATTCTTTTGAAAGACATGACTAGTCTTATGTCTATTTATTATTATTAGACATGAATTCAGTTGGTCCTTAAGGAAGGTAGCTAATAAAACAAAGATGTTGCTGTTATTAGGTGCTGTCGAGTTGAGTACAACTTATAATAACTCTATGAACAAAAGATCTGAA